GAGAGAGAGAGAGAGAGAGAGAGAGAGAGAGAGAGAGAGAGAGAGAGGGAGAGAAATGTGCTTACAATTTTAATAAAAATTTGGTGATTTTGAAAATTTTTCCATTTTATTTCGTGTATTTACACAGTTTGCTGGCGGTATCATTGGAAAGGGTGGCCAAAACATCAAACGTCTGCGTCAAGAGGTACGTACATGTGTATCAAATATTTTATTTTATTTCAAGTGTTGAACAAAAAAAGAAATGAGCAGAAAAAAATATTTGGCTAGTCAATTTAAGGTATTGTGTTGAAATGAGGTTTTTACTCCCTTTTTTAAATCGCAAATCGTTCGACACGAGACAAAAACCAAAAACACATAACACTTCCAATCATTTGTCCTGGTCTCTTTTTAAAGAAATATTCTCCGTTTTTGTTTCCTTTTTTTCCAAATATCAATTGCGTTCGTTTTGATTTCAAACGATTTTTACTTTTTAGTTTCTCTTTTGACTTTCTAAATGAAATGAAAATGACCAATATTTCTCTTCACTTGAATATTCACGATCATTAACGAGAAGAAAAAAAAAAATTGTCGGTGTTCTTTTTCGGTCTTTGATTATTTTTTTACCCGAGTCTTTTCAAATATCCACAAAACCAACAAAAAAACCATTTTTCGACAATATCTACTAATTGATTAATTCCCCTTGATCTTTGGCTCATTCTATTCATCTTTTCGTCTATTTCGCACACAACTGAATTGTCGTACAAATTAGGCTCTTATTTTAATTTTTTTGTTTTTTCCCCTTAAATTTTTTACTTTTTTTCGTTAATTCGTTTTTTTTTTTTTCATTTCGTTTTTATCTTTTTTAAATTAATATTATTTTAAGGCTTATTATATTTATAATTAACTCTTTTTTGAAATTTCTCTCATTTACCCTCACATATATATTGCCTGCCTGTCCTTTGAACAACTACTCATCTGCTGGGTACTACGCGAATGCCTCAAACAAAACTTTGAAACAAACCAAAAACAAAAACGCAATATAAAACACACACGAAATCTCAAATTGATGTGCAATTGTTGTGTTTGGGTCGTGTTGTCCTTGTTGTACTCGTGTGATCAATGTTATTTTGTCTCCTGATTTTCCAAATATAAATAAAAACCAAACGAAAAAAAAAATGAAATAAAATGCCAACCTGACAACGACAACACAAACAATTCAAAATGAAAACAATCCAACCAACACCAAATGAACATATGAAAAAAAAATTGTCTACCTGAAATCTCAACTCGCCGTTGACTCCGAATCGAAACCCACTGAAAACAAATCAAACCGTCTGCCTGTGCCATTTCCCTGGATATTATCAAAAAAAAAAAAAAAAAAAAACATGAAATCGACACAAAACCAAACCAAATATTAAAAAAAAATTAAACCAAAAATGAAATGAACATGTGCGTGAAATGTGCGTATTTCCAATGAAACTCGGTTTTTTTTATATTGAACTAAATAACAACGATGTCAATGAAAAACAAAAATCCCGCGAATTGAAAATATTCTTATGTATCTTAAATAAACGCGACAAAAAAAAACCAAAATCCCAAATAACCTGCAAAAAAATACACGATAAACATAAATAATCAACGTCAAATTACTGTGTGCCTTATCGAACCGTTACTGTTTGTCCGGCATAAACGAAACAATTTATTCAATGTTCGTTCTTGCGTTAATCATTGGAATTTGTCATTTGCCGAATGAATTTTTTTGGTTTCGAATTGTGATGATGAAAATTGTGAACATTTCTAAAATTCCTAAACACAAACGGAAAACCTTGCAAAATCACCACCAACAACAACCAATGCAAACGAAAAACAAAAACCAATCAACTTGCTCGACGCGTCCAAAAACTTTGAATTGAACTCCACCCCGACTGAATCGAAAACAAAAACCAAACCAAAAATAAAATGAAATATCCACACACACACACACACACACACAAACCCTGAATGCACCTGCAAATTTGAATCGTAATTCACACTCACGTGCATTTGTCAAATTGTACCATCACTTCATCATCCGTCGAATGCCGCCTCCGTGTTGACTCTGCCGCTCTGCTCTGATCTGATCTGAAAATATCCGAAATATCCACACAAACACAACTCAAATGTCCGAACCACAAAACACTTGAAAACTGATGATGAACCACTCTGTGCCTTTGTTTGGTCAATCAAACGTCATTTTCTGATGCAAAAACCGATATATAAACCAAAAACGTACGAAAAAAACCAAACCAACCCAAATCGACTGAAAAAAAAAATGGTGTGCGTGTGTTTTTGATACGCTTCTCTGCGACACAAAAACGAATCTCCGGCTCCCTCGTTCCGTGCCCGATTCTCGTCGTCAAACACAAAATATATATGAATTGTCTGAAAACGCACAATTTTTTTTTCTGTTGAAAATGAAAAATAAACAATACCACACCTGTTCACAAACTGCAGTTTCATGCCAATATTAATGTTGAGGATTGTCCTGGCCCTGAACGGTAAACAAAAAACCTTATATACATTTGTTTTATTAAGCCTTTTTTATCTATATTCATAGCATACAAATTACCAACAAAATACAAAATACCGATTCTATAATATTTATATATGTATATGTATAACGTGTAAAAAACAAGCCACACACACATACCAACCAACAAAAACAGCTACAAAACATCTGAAACACAAAAGCGATTATCAAAATCAATGATCACCACCGAGCGAGATGCGCCCTCTCCCCCCACCCCACTCCGGATTAAAAATCATTTTCATCAAATTGCTTCTCACTACTCTGTGCGTGTCTCACTCTCATTGTCTCTCACTCTTTCTCTCTTCCTATTTTTGTCTCTGTTTCTGTCATACAGTTTGTTTTTTTCTAGACTCTTGCAAAAACCACATCCAATTCCCATATTCGCATTCGCATTCGATAGAAGACGCAAACCATCCGACCGGTCGATTAACGGATTTCTATAGAGTACATTCAAGCAAACGATTATACCTTTCAAATTATAGTTAGAATGAAATCGCTGTCATCAAATTCCATTTGATACAATCAACAATTGAATTGTTCGAATTATTTCAATTTATTATTTCATAGAACTTTCGGAATTGTTATCCTCTGTTTCGTTCACAATTTCATCGAATCACTACAACAATGATTTCAAATGTCAGATTTTTCAGTACTTCCACACAAAACCCCTCAGTCAAAACCCATCTCAGTTTCGTCAGTATAACTACATCCACTGGTTGATATATATGAAAAAAATCATACACAAACTGTTCAAATTCCAATAATAAAATTCAACTCATTCGGTTCGTACAGTTGAGACAGCTATTCCAGAAAATTGTTATTAATTATGAACAAATAACTTTCTTATTTACAGAACAATTGATAAGAAAATCATGTGTTTAGAAAGAATTATTATTTCTGACAAGTGTATCATATAACTTGATGTTATCTGCCATCAATTTTCATGCAAATGGGGATAAATCTGAAGTCGACTCATTTCGACGGCAAAGGGCATTTTTTTAACACTCTTTTGTCTGTTTGTTGGTCTCAAACTCATTTTAACCGGAATATTTTAATCCATATTCAACAACTGGGTGGATTTATTATTTCATTTGAATGCAACATAGTTTTTTCCGTTTTTTTTCTTTCAATAAGTGCTCAATTGTTCAATATTTAAACAATTTTTGTTTGTTGTTTATTGTTTTTTTTTTTTTTTTGTCTCTGTCACTGAAATCGTTTCTGTCACTGAAAATAAAAATTATTTTGCAAAAGAAGATGGATTCGACGTGCATGCGGAGCGAGTACATTTGGCATAAATCCAATCTCACTGTTCTGCGTCGAAATTATTGAAAAATTATATTATATATAAAATATTTAACAAAAGCAAACCAAAAAAAAAAATGGTGAAATCATGTAACACATCAAGCTAGTGTATGTAATGTCTGTGTGTGATAATATATATATATTATATATATATATATATATATGTATATATGTTTCACAAATCGATAATGTTTTTCTTTGAAAATCGGTTCGGATACGAATTGGTGCCTGGCTCTCTGTCTCCCTCTCTCGCACACTCTGTTGTCCTCTTTGATTCTTAATTAAAATCGCTTCGAAACCAATGGGTCTTTTATTGAATTTTGTTACACACGCATTTGACACGTGATAAAACGAAACCATTCGATCCACTGAGAGAAATGTGGAAACATGAATATGACAAACACCGTGCTTATCACGAACAAATCATTTTGAAAATGAGAAAACACATCAACAACAGAACGATTTTATCGATCCAAAGTCTGAACTCTTTCGGAACACTTGTAAAACATTGTCGAGTTGTCATTTTTATTTGGAAGGAAACAAGGATGAAAGTCTGTCCTTAGCAACAGTCATTCTACATACAATGTTTCGATGAATTGCTTGATTTTGACATTTTGTGACTGTTTTTCCTGTTTATTACAGATCTCTTTCTCTTTTTTTCTATATCTATCTATTTCTCTTAATCTCTGTCAACTCATTCTAATTGAATTCGTCACGATATTTTATTTTTTGTATCGATTTTTTTTCTCATACTTAATATAAATTTTACCGTTCCCCCAACAAAATACAACATTTTTCCCAACACAAAAATTTAATTTTTTTTCTACCAATATTTGTATTGTAAGATAGTTTTGTCTAATTCCATTTTGACTAATTTGATATTTGTTTTGCTTCTTTCGGTGTTGTTTTTTTCTTTTCTGTTTACAGTACGGTAAATATATCCGCACCTGAGCTCAGCAATGCTCTCAAAGTGATTGAGGATATTTTGCATAACTTTGGCGAGGTAAGTTTGAATATTGTCCAGTTAAATGATAAATTAGCAATTGAATTGAGGCTGAATTCAAAATTGGTAGATTGAGTTCTACGTCGTTGAGCAAAGATTTGGAAATTGGCTTCCATTCAAGTTATTTAATTTTTCGCTTTTCAGATTCTGAATGATTAATATCATTGGGAATATTTTTGGTTATTGAAAATCCACAATTTTTTCCATATCATTTGGGACTTTCCAAGGAAGAGTTGCATTTTTTTTCGTTTTTTAAAGATTCAATTGATTTTTTTCTTCATCAAGTAACAATTTGCGATACTTTGACCGATCTTCTCTTGGTCGAGCATTCCTTTTTCAATCGGTCGTAATAAGCCATCTTTTGTCGAAGAAATGAAATTGGAAAGTTATTTAAAAAAAAAAAAAACAACAACATCAGAAACATACAACAATCAACATTTTGTGCGCGGCGTATATTTCATTAAATTGTTATTGAATCGCCGCAATGTCGTTGTTTGCCACAAATAGACAGCAAGTCGCCACATATTCACAGTTTCATGAATATAATACGTACACAGATCGACAATGCATGTTGAAAACCGCTAAAAAACCAAACCGAAACCAATACACACACACACACACAAGTTTGCCATATAAATAAATTTTTAAAATAGTGATTACAAAAGACACGCGATTCGAATTTTATTTTTATACTCGTTTACGCGTTTACTCCCTGTACATTCGTTGTGCCTTCTCAGCCGACAGTGTACCGCGAACAGGACGTTGTGTGCATTGTATCGAAAATGTATATAAACACACAAACAGGAGTGAAGAGAAAGAGAAGGCTTTAAATGAAGCGGGAAATGCGATATGCAAATAGAAATTACGATTTTTCGCTACTCCGATGTAGTTTAGTTGTAAAATAGTGTGTAGTTTTAAGCATTTCCGATTTGAATTCAGTGGCAAAACCACGTCAAATTGAATGAAAATCAAAGAGCCAAACAAGTTTCTCATAATTTTTATACCAGACAAACGATGAACGACGAATTTCGCACCAACAGCACGTGATTCGTCGGCCACATTTTGTGCCGTTTTCTCCAGTTTGTTCGCTCCATCTCTCTTACTCTTTCGCTCCGTTCACTTTTCAATGAAATGAATTAAATGGACAATGGCCATTGATTGAAACTGATAAACAAAATGTGATAATGCCAAATTGAATGACTCAAATTGTGCGCGACTTTATTTTTTATTGTTGCCAATCATTATTTGTGTACTATTTAAAAGTTGCCTCGTTTTCTTCTTTTCGTTTTTTTTTTTCTCATTCAATTTATGTGTATCTCATGTCTAGAGAGTGAGAACAAAACAAAAAGTTTGGTTATTGGAAATGAAAATGTAGAAAAAAAGGGTGAACGCGCGCGCAACCGTTTGATTTTTTTGTATAGAACACAACACAAACGACATGCGGTATGTCCATCGGTTGGTGTGTAATGTAAACCGCAAGCATGTGGTCGATTCTTTTTCCTCCCGAAATCTATTCAAAACAAGTCTAATTAGAAGGCGTACGCTCTTCATATCATTCATATTGTCTCTCTTCAAACACACACGCAGAGAGAAAGAGAGAGAGAGAGAGAGAGCGAGAGAAAGGAACAAAACAACCATTCAATTGTTGTCATTATTTACACGCATGAATTTCATAGCGTCATCTTGAACAGGGGCAACTCTTCAGCTGGACTCCTTCGATATCAACGGAAAGAGCAACATCAACATAAATATAGAGTATTGTAGGCGGATTTTCTGTTCATTCGAATGAAACTTTGAAAACGCCCAATTTCAAGTTTTGGTTGTTTTTCTTTTCATTCCATTTTTTGAAATTGAAACAATTGAATTTCCAATGAATTGGCTTTTTTCAGTTGCTTCCGCAGGGAATAAGGACATGTCAGTCATTGAAAACGCTATTTCAAAGTTGAAAGGTTTATTCTCTCTTTTTTGTTTCTCTCACAACCGAACAAGTAAACCTTATTCGAATCGTAAATATTCGTGTCATTTCACCGAAAGACAATCGAATTTACGATTAGGTGTATGTGTGTTCAGCACAATTTTTCCATCGAGAAATAAGAAGCAAATGCATTTCAGCGTTTTTTTTTTGCTGTTACTACTGCTGCTGCTGCTGCTGCCTTATGCTCACCTTAACAACTTTCGGTTTGGAGTGTTTTCGTTCCGTGCAATTGCAAAACGATGAAATCATCATCGTTACTTCGATCGGAGAGAGCAGAAAGACAGAGAGAACAATGACCTTTTTGAAATAACAGTCGAACTAAATGTAAACAAAATATTTTTTCACCCGTTGCGCACACACTCCAATCAATATGCACATCTTGAAGTTGATGTTGCTGCTCTAGTGTTTCCGAACGATTTCATGCGCGCGCTGTCTCGAGACAGATAGATAGTCTCGTCAAAATGCAAGAGAGAAAAAATTGCATTCATTTTTCCATTTCCATTCACCAGCAGCACCTCGTTTGATTGCACATTTTATTTAACAGAATGTGTCACACATCTAACGCTAAAGCGGTGTTGTTCTTTTTTTGGGTGCTGACTTCGAATTCGCATATATTGATACGATGATGACTATGACGACGAATGGTTGGTGTTGAACGGTTCGTATTGCATTTTTTCGAGAGGGAGAGAGAGAGAGAGAGAGATAATCGTTTTCGTTGTCGTTCTCACGTATCTTTCGCATGTATGAGCTGAAACATGAAAGAGCTGATTCAAATAAGCATCGCCTAAATTCCAATCCATTTGCTCGGCAAAGAACGAACGAATGGCATGGAAGGAAAGAACAACACCGGCATTTAGTGGATCAACAATTGCATGAACGTGCAAACGAATCGCTAGCATGTTTATTTTGCTTGGCCAAAAACTCGTATTTTCACTCTGTGGGTGAACAACTGATAAAACACAGAACAGACAAATATTGTGTCAAGCTCTTAGATGTTCCAAAAAGTCAATATTTGGGTAGAATTGGTGGAATACTAATAATAAAAAAAACATAATCGAATATAATGGAACTGATTCAGCCATAATTCAATGAAAAATGTTGCTTTTTCTATCTTTATCCCATCATTATTAAACTTTGTGATGTGGTTCAATTAATTCGAATTAATCATTTTATTATTTTTTTATTTTTGTTCCATGGAAACAGGAGGACAGTGAAATCGATCTGCGCTTGTTGATCCATCAAAGTTTGGCCGGTTGTGTCATCGGAAAGGGTGGCGGAAAAATCAAGGAAATTCGAGATGTAAGTATTTACTTTCGCTTTGATTTTTAGTCGTACTACATCGTGTTTATATTTTTCGAAATGTAAAAGCGACTTGGAAAATGCACAGTTCTCGATTAAAGATTCTTTTTATTGGAGTTTCATCATCAGCCGAAAAAAAATCCCCCTCGCAATAGAAGCTAAACCATAAATTGATGGTTCGGAATATTTGAAATGATTAGGATCGCAAGTGGAGCATATTCTTGATTTGATGTTTATTCAGAGTTCATTAACTTTGAAAATAATTGGACATTCCATAACAACCAGCCATGGTTGTTTCTTTTCGGCGTGTGTATTTGTGCTCGTCATAAGAGTCGTCGAAGAGTCTTCGACGAAGACTCATTACAACCATGATCAAATGTATGTGTGCGAATGTTTGTTCCGCGTAAAATTAAATTTATATTATCAAGTGAGACTCTCTTTTGGTCGCGCGTGCGCGTCCGCTCGCGTTTATTAATTAATTTATGGCCCTTTGGTGCCAATACTGTTTATTTTTAAATACTCAACCACTTTTATGATGCATAAAACGTTGGAAAATGTCCGAAAAAAGCCAACGACATACAAGCACATGCGAATAAATGAAAATTGTGCTCTCAATCGACTAGACTGAAAATAAAACCATAAAGAATGTGTCGGCTCTTCAGATTATTCTGGCCACTGTTATATTGACATGGAAGAGAGAAGGAAGAGAAATCAATATTTATAACGGTCCTTCATTAATAAATAACTCTCTGAGCGTAGTTTGAATTGAAAATTAATCGGTTGGCAAGTACATAAAACACAAATTATGGTTGGCTTTTGGGTTTGAAATTTTTCTGTGCCCCATTTTGATTTATATCGACAAATGACACTATAATCTGTTGAAACCAGCACAGCAAAAGTATGCAAATGGATATGTTTCATTTTCGGGTTGCTTGTAAGAGAAAACACAACGCACTCGCACAAAAACACTCTCACAAGTCATGAATTGTCTAAATATTGCATTCAAATACACAGCGGGCCAAATTGATGGTATGTGTGTGTGCGCACACGAAAGCGCGTTCGCTCGCTGCGCAAAGCGACAACCATCACGATTTAATCAAGCTTGTTTGCCATATAGTATATAGACATATATATATATATATGCATATTGATGTCCGTTCCCATTTCCATTCCCAGTTTATACTAGATAGTTTGGCATTTAATAGTATGTATATTGATTAAATTAAATTGTAACAAATGATTTCAAAAACACATCCGATTCTCACAAATACACAGTTACAAATGTTCACGGTGACACACCCATGACACCCGTGATTCCATTGAAATGCTGCCCCTGCTTAAATTTCACACAAATTTTATCCGCCACTCAGGTATCCTTTTGTTTGAAAATACCATTTCGAAAATGTGATTTGCTTTGAAAGATTCCAACCTAACTCCGCTCCGATTCAAGCGAATCAATTCAACTGTGGCAAAAAAGTCATGGCAACCCAAATGTGAGAGACCATACGATCTTACCGATACCACCATTGTAACCGAGAAGCGGACGGAAATCTTGTTAAATGCTCACAAATAACCGATTTGCCATTCTGAATAATTATTACTTTACGGAAAGGCAACTTTGGTAAATGAACCCGAAAAATAGACCCAGCCAAATATCGTTTGCGATTAATTGAGTGAAAGGCTTTTGAACTGTGCGCGCGTGTGTGTTTGCACTCAATGTAGATGTCTCTTCTTCCGAATATTTGGTTCGCTTCTACCAGTGACTTGAAGTTTTTTAAATGAAAGTGGGCGAGAGAGAGACATTTGAGAGCCGCAATTGAATGCATAGAAATTGACTAAAGGACAAACGTTGTCAGAACCATCAACACGAAATAGTTTGGTGCTATGCGAAAACAAATGAGTGAACCAAAAAAATGTGTCGTTCGCACACAAGCCGTATCGTAATTCAAGCCTATGTTATTTGCCTGAATTGAAACCAATTCGGATTTCTTTCTTCTCTCGTTACATTTTGCAAATTTACTATGAATTTGTCGTTTTATGGATAAAATCGCAATCGGATGTGAATGCGAAATTTGCATGCATGTTCTTTTTCTAAAATAAAATGGAGAATCTTTGTGGCGACCAAAACTGACATATTGTGATGGGCTTAATTCTATTTTCTTGACGATAATGTGTCATTTGTTGTGTCACACGTATTCACACAGAGGAACATTTGCAAACTGAATCGCATCCATTAACGAGTATAATGAGTTAACGGCGACGCAGTCGCAAAGTGTGTGTGTGTGAGAAAGAGAGAGAGAGAGAGAGAGAGAGAGTGAGCAGTTGCTATGTGTAGAAGCATGGACAGATACAATGGCAAAACAAAACTTTTCCGTTTTCATTTAAAATTCAGACGCATAAATAGCAGAGTTCTGGCGCATACACGCGTGACATGGGTAATTACCTGAAATTAATAATACTATTTGAAAATTATATTATGTTGAGAGAGGGCTGACATACACAATTTAATGTATAGCTATTCTGTGGGTCGGTTTGAGTTTGGGAAAGTTCGTTTTGATCAGTTGGCCGACAAGAAACAGAACAAGCGAATCGAAAAGAATGAGGGAGAGAAAAATGAATGGTGACCATTTGATGGCCCTACGATGATATTGCATGCATGTCGATATACTGTCGATAATAAAACCAACGAACATTCGCGCTCGCACAACACCACCACCACCAAATGCCAAACTATCTAGAGACGATGATAGCGACGTTTCATTGGCCGCTGGGCTACTAAATAACTAAATATAATGAATTGTTTGATGTCGCGCATATGTCACATGGGGGCTTAAACCATATAATTTCATATTACATTACAATCAAGAGCCCGTGAACTGAATGAAAAACCACACACATAAAATGCACATTATAACCGCACTTCGGCCATATCTCTGACAATGCCGTTGTCATTGTCGTCTCTGCCGCCACTGTCGTCGTCGTCGTCATCTTCGTCGTCGTCATTATCACCGTCGTCGCACAAATATCACAACAACATATGCAACACAATGGGAAAAACACAAGAAAGGATAATAAGATGAATTAAATCCACACAAAGAGTGAGAAAAAAGTATAACAACACTTAAATTTACCGACCGCTCGATGATATAATACCAAATGAATATGGCCGTTGAAACGGATTGACAACAGAACAAGAGAAAAACAAATTCACATTTCAGGTTAATGGTACTGTTTTGCCGTTGATAATAGCCCATGTAATTTCTAATTCTCTAGAATTTGTGTGTATGTGTGTGTGTGTGTGTGTGTACTAAGTCACAACCATTTTCATTACTCTGCGTTGTAAATAAACAATATCGATTTATTTATTTATTTATTCATAGTGTGTGTCTTTGGATTATTTTTTCCCATCTCTCTTTCTCTTCTTCATACACACACATGTTATGTCTCTATCTACCGGTCTATCTCACTATCTCTGTCGCATATTATGTCGATGTTGTTCCAATGGATCAACATGAACAAACCGTTATCCATTATTTATGAATTTACAATTTATTATATAAGAGTGGTGCAATTTCTCTACTATCGTCACCAATGTGTGTGTCTCTCTCACTCACTCTCTTTCGGCTACAATACAACCGGAAAAAAATGCCGCTCGTTTCGAATTCCGTCTGATTATGTGTGCGTGTGTGTGCGCGACTCTTTTTCGTGTTCATTATTTTTCGATTTACATTGTTAATAATGGTCTTTTCTCTCTTAACATTTTTTTCGTTCTGCTCTGTCCCTATATTCGAGTTTCAATGGGCGGGTCAATTGAAAATTAATAAAAAAGTAAGAACACAAAAAACGAACTTGAAACTATAATTTGTCCAACTATCTATTGGAACAAAAATTTAAAATCCAATCATTCGATATTGACCGGCACTGTAATTACCTTCGACCGAATGGAAAATTGACTTTAATACTATGTGAACCCTTTGTTCACTGTCAACTGGCATTTTTCCCATCAACTTAGTCACCAAAATGGTATTTATACCCCGATCGAAAATTTCCACCAGCAGCAGCTGTGGCGGTTGGTTTGACGATCTATTGATTCAATTTCAAATGGTATTGAAATCCAGACCAAACGGCTTTTGTGCACCAAACCAACGTTGCATTGCATGTTATTTTAATTTTATATTTAATAAATTTGAGTGTAGAGTACACTCCCACTGCATACATTGAACAAGTTAAATTGAACTTTGCATTTCTGTGTGTGTGTGTGTGCGGGAGCATATATGTCGTTTTGAGGGCGAGAGCTTTGAGGCAAAAAGAGTTTATCGAGGAGGGTCCCATCAAATAATACAATTTCTTTTGAAAGCATCCAAAGAGAAGTTTTTCCTCACTTAACTTTGACTCGAAGCCAGCTGCCATTGGACGCACAGTTTTCCTCTCTCTTTCTCTTCATTTTTGAGATGGAATGCAAAGTTCTTCGAAGAATGCAAACCAGCATAAAGCTTTGGCCCAGTGCACAAACATGTTTGCCACATGTATATATATATATGTTGGCCACTCGCATAAAAATTTCACAAAGTGAAAAATAACAATCCAAAATAATAAATAAGAAATTTAGTTTCAAGCGAATGCACTGACAGCGAAACAAAATTTTAATTAGATTGCCGAAAATAGCCGAATGAGGGGTGCACACTGCACAAACGGAGTGGAATGGCAGCACACAAATTGAGTAAAGCTGCTTGTAAACATGAAAATGATAAATTAAATAAATTATGAAATTAAATCGAGATATTCAAAAACAGGCGCGCAATTAATACATGAATGAACTTGAGCATGCATAAGCATGAGAGCTTAATATTCTACCTCATTCATAACTAAATGCGAGAAGCTTCTGAACATGTGTTCGGGTTGATATTGTTCGCATATTGTTGTCAAGCAAAACATTCACACATACAGACACAACACAAACACACACACGAACACAACGTTCAATTGCACCATTTTACTCG